TTCCGTAGTTTCTCCGATCAACACCAGGCACATGCCGAAGCAGTACCCTATCAAACGGGCCACGGGCTGCGCTTACCTCTTCCATGTCCTCTCCTCTCCCCTTACACTAACATGCACTACCCAAGCCCACACGCCGGGAGACCGGTCTGGAGCTTAGAACTTGTCCTGTTGAGGCGGTGCCCCGCAGGTGGGAGATATCGGGTTGGGGAAAATCCCGCTAGCCGACGGTAGGTCGGCGCCGGATCTCGCCATCCTGCGAGGGGAAATATCACCCACACCTCCCGAGCAAAACCACGCACTACACAAACGGGACTAATGACCCTGATAGTTGACGTGCCCGGAATCACCAACAAAAATCAATCAAAAAATTAATCATAAAAACCAATCAGAATCAATCAAAATCAATAAAAAATCATTCAAAAATCAATCAAAATCAATCATAAAATCAATAAAATATCAATCAAAAATCAATCAAAATCAATCACAAAAATCCAAAATTAATCAAAAAATGCCACCTGTTCTGCTTAGGATCCCCGTGGACCTGCGCTTCGAGGTGTACTGCGCGGCGGCGCGCTACGGCGGCGAGCGCGAGTGGGCGGCGCTGGAGGCCCGCTTCCGCGCCTCCGACCAGCTGCCCGCCGAGCGCAGCTACCTGCTGCGCGCGCTCATGTGCACGCGCCTGCCGCACCTCGTCACCACGTGAGTAGCCCTCCTACGCACTTCTTTGCGACGCAAAACTCCCTCTACACTCGGATTTAAACGAAGTTTCAGTTGACGTAAATCGGCTGTTGGGGTGCCATCCAATCGGGAGGTTGAACCTCACCATGGTGACGTCCCTGTTGTGACGTGTAAGCACCCTATTGGATGACGCCGTGACAGCTGATAATCTGGCAAATGATGCTCTAAATACATCGGAGTATAAGATGGACATTATGAAATTTTAGTGCCGTGCGTATAGTAACGACGTTAAAAGGTATGTTACGGATCTTGAAGATGTAACGTCTTGCTTTAAGCCTAAGGTTCGACTGTAGTTCTTGGTAAATAGTAAGTTTTAGTACATTTTCAATGTCTTGACCTTGCGAATCCTATGCCACATGACATTTCATTTTATGTTGTCATAACCCATTTGAGTTAGTGGAGTTAGTGAGACTTAATAGTGTTTTAACGCTCTGGCGGCATACTTTACGCACTATAACAAAACAAAGGTATTAAGAACAAAAGAAGGCTTTGCAGATTCATGCTACGTGTGTTTACGTATGTGATTTTCCATAACTTTCAGCGAAATGGATGCGTGTTTAGAATTTATCACTGGTTGTGACGGCAATATGCGTGTTTCGACTTAGGAGTGGTAGTGTACGGATAATGCATATGACAAATCTCAGGAGTCGCGTAAACGAACCAAGAAATATTAGTTTAACAGAAATTCATTGGATCCATAAGACCAAACCATGCTATAGATATTCAAAGTCTTCACTGGCGCAAAATCGAATGCGCTTCTGTTGTGGTTTACTCGATACAATATTTATTTTCAACAAATCCATTTAAGATTAACCTTACAGCTCTGCAATTGAATGAAAAAAAGGTCGTACCTTAAGCGTAATGTCATTGATACAATACTTACATCTATCACGTTACTTGTTGTGCATAAAGTCAAGAATTTACAAATGTGCAAAAACTCCCTAATGAGTATAATGAACTTCTACAAACATTGACATTACTTGTGATTGGTTTACTTTTTAACTTGGGCAGTTTTTTTACTACTTTAATATCAAAATTTGCAGTGACAATTTACAAAAATAAGCACGTAAAACTCAACATTTTGGGCTGGCGAACTAACAATAATAATATATACACAAACGATACCGAGCTCAAGAATCATGCAAAAAGAGAAGTGATAGAAAACACGCGTCTTATATTCTATATGACTTATTCTACGAAATGAAATGTTCAAAGACTATGATTGAAGCAGGCTCCTCTCCTTTTACAAGAGAAAGCAAGATACAGGATAGTCACTAAAGGTTTCATATTCGTACTGCATTTGAAGAACACCTTAGTTGTATGTCTGTAGTCGTTCCTTTACATATTGTATTATGTCCTAAAATATAAACGAAGAGAAAATAATTACTGAGAAGTTATAGTCTGAGTTAACTTATACTGCCTTCAGAATTTAGAGCTAGTGGTTCAACATCACATACTTTTTCGCATTATTTGTTGCTTGAATTTTCCAATAATCTGTGATCAGAAGAGAATTGTGTCCAGAAAAGCAGCTTGCGACATTTTTCTAGGCATGGCATAGGAATAATGTTAAAAAATAAATATATTTTTGTATTTCAAACATTTAAAACTACAAAATACTATATCTCTTAATCTAGAATTGAAAGGTTTTTTGAAAACAAACAACCGTAGTCCAAAAAGTGAGATTTTGAGATACTCGAACTGTTCTTAGAGCTTCATTTACTGTGTTGTCATAAACAAAATCATCCCCTGTTTGTAGTCATTAGCTCCGAAACTTCGATTCTTTTATCAAAATCACTCATAGTCTTTAACTGTAATTTTTTATCCGTCATTATTTCTCAATCGTGGATTATCTCAACCATCAACGGATGATAATATTTGTTTTTTAAATGTGGTTATTCTGGATAACGAGAATTTTTGTCCTGGAAGTTTGCTAATAGTGTATAATATGTTCTTATGACATACACGTCCTTTGTGTTGAGAATCTGAACAAGCAAGGGAAAAGATAACAGCTTAGAAATGGATTCTACATTAGATGTGGAAAGAATAGAGGGGAAGAGACGTAAACCAAAGAAAGAGGATGTAGTGAGAACAAAGAAGGTTAAAGGAGAAAAACATTTTCATCAAAAAGGATCTTCAGACGTTCTCTCAATATTTACGTTCTCCTGCTAACAGTGATTTGTATCTAAATTTGTCATCAGTGGCAGATACCAATGTGGAAAAAGAAAACACAGATAATGATGATAATAGTAAGAAATAAAGTTGATCAATAATATTCCAAATTGGCTAAGTGCTTTAACTTCTTGCAATACACTTTCAAATATGGTAATCTTACTGCCTCAAATAATTAATTATGTAATATCACCATAGTCCCTACACTTCCATACACCCTACACACAATACACTTCAAGCTTCAATTACACTCAAGCGTTCATCAATATTTACAATAGCTTGAGAAAGTGCACAACAATTTTCATTCGTCAAATGTCTACCAATTTCGTCATGGAAGGTTTTTTCGCAATACTGATAAATTGTTTTTGGACTATGGTTGTTTTTTAAAAAAACCTTCAACTGCAAAATAAATACCTAATTAAATTTTATATTCGAGTTGTACAATTCAAATTCAAGCCCCCTCTGTTTTCGTCGTTTTAAACACTGGTTCATTTTACGGATTGCATGAGAAAGTCGCTCATTAAGACGCAAAAACCCGTTCCAGTGATCCTGAAAATTTCGAGAAGTTATTTCAGCAGACAAGACAAACTGTTAAATCAGGTAAAGGCGGCACGCCGCAGAAATATACAGGCTTAAACAAGGCTGTTAGCGATGTTCAAAAAGCTGGTTGGGTTCCGAGAATTTTCTTGGTTCAACGAGCTGTAGCATGTGGCTAATAGTTTTCTTTTCGCAATTAAAAAATAAAATGTAGCTCGCAGGAAACGATAACAATTACTGCGCGAAACGTGTTCCTTTAATAAAGTTGGACATTTAAAAGTGATCAATAATACATAAGAGTTATTGAATTTAATCCATTGAGAAGCCTGCTTGAGGATTGTAACTTCTCGTACCACCGTAACTGACGCGAGACAGTCCCATTTCGGTTTGTATTTTAACAATTGTATCTTACATTATTCTGTGGTCAATACGAGAAAAATCTGATAAAATCAATCTATCACATACAAGTTTCCTGATTATGAGATTGGTCTGTTGTGTGGCGCACGCAACCCAACGTGAGTCTCAATGCCTCTCCCAAAGTTCAATGAACCATATTAAAACAATATAGCATTTAATAATTTTCTGTAATAACAAGGTCATTCAATGTTAACGTTTTGGTATTAAATAAACATGAAATAATTATATGCGTCGTCATTGCCAACAATATTATTTATTAAAAAAGCAGCTTTCGATGGCTTAGCCATCATCATCAGACTACGGTAGTTGTTTATGTGGCTTCCACACAGCAGAAAACTGATGATGATGGCTAAGCCATGGAAAGCTTCTTTTTTAATAAATAATATTGTTGGCAATGACGACGGATATAATTATTTCATTAAAAAGGCCAACGATAACTCACCACAACACCTATATTAAATAAACAAATAAATCAATACAAAAGTTCATTTTGTATTCAGCGTAAGTGAAAAATTGTTTAGAAGAATACATTAAGTCGGTTTAATTTAAACACTGTACTTCAGCACCACCACCGCTCCCGAAGAAATTCTGTTGCTGAGCCTGTTGAGTGGAAGTTACCATTAAGCAACGAGAGAAATGAGATTTCGATTTCCATTTCCATTGAGCATTTATTTTGAAATTTTACTACGAAATTCTTGGTTTCAATATAAATTTACACTCACTATTACTACCTCACTATTATTTTGTCTAAAAAGAGGTCCGTGTAGGGGGGTTATCACAACTAGACCAGCCTTCATTTCCTCACAACCTGACTGTCTTGCACATACACGACCACGTAATACCATTTCGTTACATCAAGCAAGAAGAAACGTTTCAAACAGCTTTTTGTGACTTACTCGAAGACTTGTGCAAGCGAGATTACACTTGCACCTCTTACGTCTTCGAGTATCGTAGCGTGATTATATGATAAACGGGATTCATTTTAATTAATATTAGAGTTCTCGAAAAATTTTATTACCACATAAATGTCAAATATGCCTCGCAAATAAATCCAAATTCCCATAGTGTGTCCAATCTTTACAAAAATGTTAATTAATAGTTCGTGCGTTTTCTAACCTCACTGTGGTGTTTGTCGCAGAATGCTGGAGCGATCTCTGGAGGAGGGTGGCGACATCCGTCTGCAGGACTCCATTTACGTCTGGCGCTCCATCACCCAGAACCCCGTGGCTTCCTACATCGCCTTCCGCTACGTGCGGCAGAACTGGGACTCCATTTACGCCAGGTGAGGCCGCGAGGTCAGCCTGCCAAGATGCAGCCACACTCCAAGTGTTTCTTACTGGGCTACTTCGTTCTTTCGATCGTTCGTTCATCCTTGTTTTCATCCACACTTTCATTCATTCACCCAAGCATCCACTTACTCACCCCTTAGTCCATGCCTTTCTTTCGCTCATTTTATTTCATGTATTTTATTCTCCCCTTAATTCTACGTATTGTATCATTAATTTCATTTATTTATTTATTTTTGCATTTAGAAAAGTAAAAAAAAAAGAGCGTCATCCCTGAGGTGTGGTATTATATGCATATTTACTGTATTCAAACGCACAGTATATTACAAATACTGCCAATTTTTTAATATATGAACGAAGTTCTTAAAATATTATAACAATGATCAAATGCAGTATTTTTCGTTTTTGGAAACAGATGATACAATAACGTTTTGTTGAAGTAATGCCAAATAATCCTTTAAATTCTTTATAAAATGAAATTGAAATTGAAAATTATTGGGGCTTTTCAATTTCGAA